CCACCCAAAGGCCTTGACCAGCCTCAACCGGACAAAGCATCGTAAGCACACAGCAATGAAAGACAAGCCCAAAAAGATAATAGTGACGATGAAGATCGACGCGCTGCGATCTGGAAAGTGCAGCATGATGACACGCAGTTGACGAGTTGCCTATGGATAATTCCTCATGACGGTGCACCTGATCGCATGATCTCAATGACGGGGCGACAATATAAGCATGAGGGTCCAACTCGAGATCGAAGTCTGTCTCGAAGTCCCAGAAGCTCTCGATAATTAAATGTGGATCATGGTCGTTCTTAAGAGAAAGAAGACCCAAGTCACTAACACCGTTACAGCAAACAACATAATAATAGCCGCATAACCACTCCGAATTTAGCTGTCACTGTCAGAGTGGCGACTGGCGACGGCTAACTAGCATTTGCCATTAACTTTGGTCGCGAAATACCGAATGGGGCCATTGTTGACTAGGTTTAAGAGCAGTGGAGATTCGCTAACGACGGGCGTATCCAGAAGGTTTATCTACTCCGTCTCTATATTTCATTTTCAAGACTGCCATGCAGTAGCTGCTAGTGGCTACCTATGCAATAATGCAACCCAAAAGGGGCAAGGATTGGGACGAGAAGTAGGCTAAGACACAAGCAAATCTGGTACACCAAGGCCATAAACTTCTTTTCCTCTGTTTCACATGGCAGGCTTGTCGTCGAGCCCAGAGCTAAGCTAGAACCTAGGTTACTACTACTACTAGTAGTACTAGGTTTAGAAGGCTGCCAAGGATACTGTAAGCAAGCGAGATCGAGTCTTGAACAAATTTGCCAGGAACAGCATATGCACTCTGCAGGGAAGCCGCGGATGTTGATGTGGACCATGTCCCGTTACTCCCGTAAGTAGTACGTACTACTAGGTAGTCTTCAGACTGGCAATTTCGAGGAGCAATTTCGGTAGTTGAAGGAAATCAGCCGCGCATCATCATCTACTAATAAGGTCATGAGGCCGAAACTATCTGCATACTCAATGCTCAGCGCCAGGTTGAACGGGAAATCCGGTGCAATTACAATGGGATACGAGGGGTGAGCGGCGGAGGCAACATAGCCATGGTAGCCACCACTACGTACTTGTCGACCGAGGCGCGAAGAGGAAAGTGGACACTCGCCGTCGGGGATCTCGAATCTGGAGGATCTCGTTCGTCAATTGTCCAGAAACAGGGGCCCAGGGGCCAGGGCACAGACACTCAAACACCAGCGGACCAGCTAGTTCAGTCTTTGACAGTCGCGTGAATGCCACTAGACGGAAATCCGTGGTGCCGGAGACCGCGCGGGAATTAGTGAAACTCAAGTATCATCATTATCGATTCATAATTATTATTATTGACAGGTTGGAGTTGACAGTTGACAGGATGTCGATCTGACACCAACAAAAAGGTGGACAGTTGATGTTGGACCATTTCACTCTACTCCGTATGTCATCCCTGGCTGAACCCTGCTTTTATATAGCAATATCAACAGAAGTTCGACCGATATCCTGATCCAGGCTCAATTACCCGTGCGGAAATCAAGTTTCAGGCAAATCTAAGCAATAATGGCACGCATTGGCCGACGAGGATCTTTGCCATCATGGGCAAAAGAAGGACCGTTTTAGTTTGGTTGCAAACTTGCAATATCCCACATCTCATGCGCCAAGGTCGCGCTAACAATGATTAAATACTGGTGCATAACAATACCTATTACTAATAAGATTCTGCTCATCTTGGCCTGGGTATCATTATTATTGTATTAGTATTTGTACAACGGTCTCTTCCGTGCCTAAGCGTCGAAGCGAAGAATTTTCTCGACGAGAAATGCTACCATGGCATTGGTTTGAGTCTACCTTAGTCGAATCGTGCGTAGCCTAAGGTGACAAGGCCGACTTGAGGATTAATTGTAATCAGTTTAATATAGTTGTGTGGCGCTTGGAGTCTGGAGAAGCAGAAAGTCTTATGAGTAGAATGCAAGTCTCATTTGATTGACGCATGCAAACAGTTCGGAGTTCGTCCAAGCTCAGGCTTGTCTTCACCGATGGTGAACCGCTGATCGAGATTCAGAATTCTGACCAGACCTCGCAGGCAATCGATACCCATAGTCCAGCACTTTGCCAGTTTCAACTTGGCGATCGACATGGCCGACATTTCGATCGTCCACATACAACCAAAGTTAATTCATAATTGGCTATGATCTCCACGAAACCTGCTCTCTTCCACATTGCACAGAGAGCCGGTCTTCTAGAATTTTTCCCCTGAAGCTTACTGCAATGATACCCTCGAATCCCTGGATAATCAACCTTGTGATCAGGTAATGCTGTGCTTACAGATCGTACGGGGTAGATAGTATGTTCTAAAGTCCAGACTCTGGACTCTGAACTAGAGGCCTCAGGGTCCCATGGATGGTGATACGGCTGGTTTCAAAGCACGTTGGCTAGCGCCTGACAGGGTGTCGATCAGTATCAGAACTTTCAGAGGATATTAACAATTCAAAGGGGACAAGTCTATCGTTCCTTCGCCCCAAGTGCGCCCTCTGCAAGTCTGCAACGGGACAAGGCTTGGTCTAGTAGCTTGTCAGCTTCAGTCCAGACTCAGTAAACGCACGTGGATCTGTCCTAGTCAGTTGATAAGCTACTTCAATGAATGCCTTTGATGGTTACTCTCCACTTACTCGTCTGATGGCCGGGAACATTTTGCCGGGTTATCCTGTCTCGTGTCAAACCAACTTGTGAGCTCGCTTAATGGACTTCAGAATACAGAATGAAGTCGAGCCTCGCCAGAAACGGAAAGTCATGTCCTTTTGGTCTCCGCCGGACCGACCGTCTTCTGCGGTCAGATTCTGACGTCCCCGTTCATCGTTTTACTATCAGAGATTTGAAGCACTGAGGCATGCGTCCTGACGCTTTCAATATCCCTCTGCTTAGCTGTCATGCTCGGCACCGCGATGCAAAGCCAGAAGTTCTATCGAATCCGAGACTGAATCATACTTATCCAGCATGACTGTGCTAATGACGTACCCTGAGTCAATGATGCCTGATTATCGGCGCAATATCTGACTCGAACAGCACTTGCATTTGCGGAAACCTAATGGTCCATGTGTACGGAGTACAGACTGTCATATATCAAATGTCTTGATAACAGGGTTACAGGGTATCATTCTGCTTGACACGCAAGCGTTCTCCTGGGATAGCACCCTATCCATGTTTCATCCGTCTCCGATTGTCGCGATTTCTACCTAGTACTCTAGGACTAGCAGAGTTCAATTTTCTTGTTCTCAAGGCCAATGTGCAAATATCTCTATCATCTGCTTGCACAGGCTGGAGATGATAGGCCGAAGTATGATGATGAAGCCGATGCGGTGGGTTTCATAGCGTCCAATTCTCTCTTATCAAATGGGCAGTTCCATCGGATGAAGTTCCTTTAAATAAAAATGCTAGATCATCTTCGCAATGCGCCCTGTCTAGCAGTAACTTCGCCATATTATGATTATAATACAAAGAGGCTCGAGCATCTTGATGCTGCGTGTCTTGCAAAATATGCCCAAGGCTTGGTTGCTTTCAAAGCAAATGGCTGCCTGGCCTGCTATATCCATTAAGCTTGTTCAGTAGCTTATCTCACTGATCCTATATATGTACATACTGACAATCCTAAACGCTTGGTAAACACATACAGTGAAGGGGGCTTCGGTAGCAGAGGGCTAGAAACTTCTATGCTGTACTCCTGCAGCATGATAATTACCACTTCGCCTCCTTGCGACTCAGGAACTCATTCAGAATCGCGACGATCTTCTCCAAAGCCTCAACCTCCCGCTTCAAAGCAGCATTGACCTTGTCAGAGTCACTACCAAGCTTCTCGTAGAAATCCTTTCTGTAGGGCGTGGCAGACATCGCGGCGGAGAAGATGGGCTTGACAACGAACGAGTGGTGAGGCTTGAGTGTGTTGCCATAGGCTTCGCGGAAGGAAACCGAGAGTTCGGTCTCCTTGTCGAGGTTGTGACGCAGCGCTTGAACGGTGAAATCGAGGCCACTGCCGAGGACATAAAAGTCAGTCTTATTTTCATCTCGCCAAATATGTGCTTGACATATTACTGAATTATCTTATGTCCACCTGCTGGTGCATGCGGAGAACGTACCGGACAAGCCACAATAATCCCTCGGTAGCGACGTGCTTTCCAGTCTTCAATTCGTTCAAGACAAGTGCCTGGAGAGTCTCAGACTCAGCAGGGGCAGCCAGCTGCCTGTCTCTCACTTTCTATGCCGCTGTTAGTCTTGCTACGGTGAACACGTAAGATGAATGATACCTTGATGTTCCCGAGGAGGTCATTCTTGACGGGGGCAAAGCACTTGCTACCGAGGAGATCTAGAACAATCAGTAGGGTCAGAATCAGACTTTAAAACAGCTCATAGTAATTTGTTTCGCACATACCGAACAGGGTCACCAAGGACTCAGCGGCCTCGAGGAACTCAGTGGTCGAAATGGCATTGTCATTAACAGGAACATCGGCGAAAGACCTCTTGAGAGTATCGAACCAAGTGCCACCAGGGGGAATAGCGGCAGCCATTGTAGATGATGGATTTGACAAAACAATAGATGTACAAATAAAATCAGAGTGAAGAATAGAAAGCAATAATGAAATGAGGGGACGAGACAGCTATCAACAACAGCTGAGCTGTCACTCACCGCCAGTAGCGGGACACGCAAGCTGCAATGGGCGGGGCGACCCCTGAGGAGAACTGCAAACAGTAAAAACACAATAAAAGGAACAAACAGAACAAATGAAGCAAACTAGGCAACTTCACGTGAGCTATGACATCATGGCCCTTAGATCGTATCGACTGTCCTCTGGTGCCTGGGGAAAGCTGTTTCAGATTGTCCTCCACTCTGAATATCAATCCCTTGGAGAATGCGTCACATACGATAGACTAATCTACCAATGCCTTGCATGCAATTCTTCTTCTGCTAAATCTGGAGGTTGCGGTAAAGTGCGATGAGCACTCAGGGTCCTGCTAATCAGAATGTCAGCGCCAGAAGAATGGACGACGAAGACCAGCATGGACTTGAGCCAGGGTCTTTCACGGCCGAAAGATTAGTAAGTCTCTTGAAAAAAAAAAAAAATCACTGTGAAGATGCAACTTGCGAGTAAGAGATAATCAAGAGTTGAAGCTGACGGCGTTTAAGCGACATGCCTCCGGCTATCACTTGCACATGACAAGTAGGAGATTTTTCATCGGTCCAATTCCTGAGGGCTGGCTGCAGCACCACCGCAAGCACTGGTACAAGACCAAACTCAAGTTTCAGAATTATACTTCAAGAGCTGTCAGCTTCACCGCAGACACCTCACCCGTTCGTTCTGCAGATCAGTCGGAACCAGAGGCGGCCTCGTCATCTGCTCGAGAACAGGATACCCCACTGGCTGATACTACGATTCAAGGGGAGATTGAAGACAGATCAGAAGAGGAAGAGGAAGAAGATGATGATCGGGAGACGGATGAGCAGCCTGGAGACCTCCGGTCCATACCGTATCCACTGGCAGAGGCCGAAGCCCCCCCAGAGGGGCTAACTGTCCCAGATTCGTCTCAGAAACAGAGCCAACAGCAGCTCAATCACGAATCAACCAAGGGGAAGAAAGGAGCAGCGTCAACATATTATACAGCTAGAGAAAGCAATCCAGGAACGGCCGAGCAAGATTACCGCACCGCTAGGGCCGAAAGCAGGCGAACGCTGAGTATCCCTAGCCAAGATGATGCGAGTCAGTCAACTCCCATGGCACCCGTTAGCGAATCTGGCTCTACAACCGCATTGCTAAGGCCTAGTTTGCGTTCTAAAGGGAAAGGAAAACTCAACACCTTGTCGTCTGCCAGCCTTGAGCGACAGGAGCCGCAGAGTGAAAGAGAAGGCGATGTGTTCGATACTCGCGTAGGGAATAGATATTCTATAACTTCACTCGGCGGAAAAGTGAAAAACTACAAGTTCGATGACAAGCTCATGGACAGACAGCAGCGGCTATTGTCTCGTATAGCCTACACCTATAATGTGCTCTCAGGAAATCGTCAACAACGGCGCACGCCGCGAGAGGGCGAGATTATCCGAGCGGAGAGGATGCTTGTACGCGTCGAGGAGACAGTGCAGAAAGAGCTCCCGAATGACTATAATGAAAACGATTGCGTGAGGATGGAAACAAAGATTGCAGAGAGTTGGAGGGAGTTTCTTGTTGTCTGTCGAATCACGTCCGACGGGGAATCACCGGTTGCGCTTCAGATGTATAAGACGCGTGTCGTTCCGGAGATACAAAAGTCGGGTTCTAGGATCAGACCTTACCACGAAATCGCTTTGAATCGCAAGAATACCAAGGTAAACCTTTACTCTTCCTTGGATAAGACCATTGTGATTTGGAGACCCTGCAAGCATGGTACCAAGATATACATAATTCGGCCCAAATCCGCAGTGCACGCCACCGAGTGGTACACGTTTATAAATCAAGTGCTGGGGCGGCACCGCCCAAGTTCATTACCCATTAATGTTCCTGATTTGGGTGTGTCTCTTCTCTTTCAAAATCCTTTTGAGCAGTTGGAGTCCAAGTGGGAGACTCAGAAGGAGGACAATAGCGATGGCACACCGGGTCAATCGAAAGCCCGCGCAACCTATGCTGCTGCGGCTATCATTCGGGGTTGTATGGACATGCTGGAAAACCGCACCGAATGGGCAGAAGTGCTACATGAGTGGTCAAAAACCGAGAAGATGGGCCTGGCCTGGAGGCGCTACGACAGACTGGAGTGGGTGGTTGGCCTGAGCGAAGAGAAGATGTACGGATCACTAGCCATGCAAACCACCCACCAGCTTCAGCTGAGACCAAGGCAACACTATCAGACATTCGTCAAGAATGGTGATGAGAAACTCGAAGAGCCGCAACCCGTGGAGGGCTTCCTGGTCCGTTTGACATCTCAGAGAGGTGTGCATCAACGGATGAACAGGATGTTTTTCAAACGTCTCTATTTTTTCACACAAGATCATTACCTCTTTTTCTGCAGACCAGCGAAAGCCCTGCCTCCTACTCCCCCGAAGCTTTGCTCGGATGAGGCTGGCATACCCTCAGCGCGGCAGATATTGAACGAGATGCCTCTGTCATATGATGTTGATCCCTTTCCAATCCAGGACGGCGAGATCAAATGGATGTCTAGCGGGAATGAGGGCCACCTGAAGGAACATGATCAGAACGCCTATGCAAATGCACAAAGGTGCATGCACAACCTCACCCATGCAGATGGTTTCATCGATCTTTGTGGAGTTCGCGAGGTACGTCAAGTGTGGCGCGGCAGCTGCCCTGCCGATCCAAACATTCGCGAAGGTCCCGACGTCGAATTCCACCCTGAACCGCGAGACACCCATCGGGACGATGGTGCAACAAAGCAATTTGACGACGATCGAACTTTCGAAATGGTACTTGACAATGATCTTGTTGTTCGACTACAAGCATATGACATGACCACCAGGAACGAATGGATGAAGAGAATGGATGGGCTAGTCAAATATTGGAAAGCCCGTGTTGCGGCTGACTCGGTCGAGCTCAAGGCTATTCGGCAGCGCAATCTAAAGATCTTGAACATTGATGAAGAAATGGAGTCCGTGGTAGGGCAGTTTTCTAAAAAATGGGAAACAAAGAAGTCAGAAGCATCGCCCTTGTTGCACAACATATGTACTCTATCGGGTTGTCGGACAATCAAGGTAAGCCGTGCGAAGCTAGTGCAAGTGATCACATCCACTGACCTTCAGGTTGCAGATGTCCGGACGGCTCTTTCGAAAGCCTCGCCGCCACTCTACCTTTAAGAGGTGCGATGTCATCTTGGCTGCTGGAAAGCTTCTGATCTTCCGTAGCTCATTGCGGAAGCGTACTGGCGTCGAGATTCCTCATATTCATCACAGTCTCGAAACCACACTAGATCTGGAAGACTGTTACATCTACTCAGGTCTAATGACCGAGTCTGATCTGCTCTATGCAAACCAGACTTTCGACAGCAACCATCCGGGACACCGTGCCTTGCCTCGCATCTATCTTTCGTCCGATGTCTATACCAGCTGTGACGAGGATACAGCCATCACGTTCGTCGTCTGGCAGCCTTTACGAAAAAATTATTTTAGGGCACAGGAGCACGGTAAGAGAGGGAAAACGAAGCAGACGCTGAAGCAAGTCTCTACGCTCGGCATCCCTGGACGGACTGTGGTATTTAAGGCACGGAGCCGGATAGAGAGGGATCGCTGGGTTATGAGTATTTCATCCGAGATAGATCGATTGCAGGAGGAGAAGCCGGAAGACATCCGGTTAATCAAACCCTAAAGATCAATTGATTTGGCTTTGTCGTTTCCAGCACTGGCGACGACGATAGAGGTGGCTCTTTAGGGCTGCTTGAGCCAGGCTGTTTTCTTTGGATCACTTAAAATTTTGGTGTTCATGATCACATGCATGTATCATACACTCTAATATCAATACACGACGCTATATACATTGCATCTAGAGAATATCTTCGTCAGGTTCTGAGGCATAGGACCTTACCTATTCTATTTGGGGTCTTTCCAACTTGACAGCCTCCTTCAACACCCGTTGCCGTACATCTTGGCGATAATTCTCCCCAAACCTATGGTTCTCATCACCTTCAACAACCCCCTTCTCCCAATCCCGCCAATTGAGCCACCTAAACTGCGGCCTCAGCACAGCAATCACTCGCCCCGTGATGAGACTGATGCTCACAGGCCCATACGTATTACTATCCAGCGACTTCTTCGGATCCTCCGCGTCACCCTCCAACCAGACATGATTGAACGGCACAATCTGCGACGACTTCATACACGGTTCTCGAGTCGTGATCCGGTCCCCGGGCAGACCGATCACCCGCTTGATGGCGGTATGTTTAGGATTAGCAGGCGACCTAGTACAACCCATGCCAGTCAGCATATTCCCATCTCATCAAATGGCAGGAGCGAAAGCAGGAGCAAAGCACCCACCGAAACGTAACAATCATCCCCCGTTCCAACCTCCGTTTCCGCTCCCAGGGCCACCCCGCCCCGCCGAACGGCCACATGTTCACAAGCACCATGTCGCTCTTCGTATGCATGGTTTCGTAGTCCTCGTTCAGGAAGGGCGTCATTGACGGCCCCCGCACCCACATTACCTGGAAAACATGTTCGGAGAAGAAGATCCCGATTGGGACGATGGGTGCTAGTATGCGGAGGACGCGGAAGGTTCGGCGGATAGGTGTTGGGAGGGTCGCGTAGCGCTGGCGGAAGAGTGAGGAGAAAGAGGGTCTGTTGGGACGAGGTTGCGTTTGTGTTTGGGGGAGCGAGGGATGGGTGGGATTTGCGGCGGCGCTCGCGGGTGCGGAGGCGGAGGGGGGTGAGGTCGGCGGCACAGGGGGTTTGGAT